TAGCTGTAGCTTTCAGAGCTGACTAGAAATATGATGATATTCTTGCCACTTCTGTTTTTTAATAGTGGAATGCTTACTGTTGTCCTGTTTCAGCTAATGCTGTTGATTTGCTTACATTTATTGCTCTTCTGCAGGGCTGATGATGCACGGCTACCTCTAAGTCGCATAGTGCCTATATCTCCAAACGAGCTTAACCTTTATCGAATTGTGATTGTTCTCCGGCTTATCATCCTATGTTTCTTCTTTCAGTATCGTATAACTCATCCAGTGAACGATGCTTATGGATTGTGGCTTGTATCTGTTATTTGTGAAGTTTGGTTTGCCTTGTCTTGGCTTCTAGATCAGTTCCCAAAGTGGTATCCTATCAACCGGGAAACTTACCTCGATAGACTTGCATTGAGGCAAGTTGCACTTCTTGATGTTTTACTACAGGATGTTGCCAATGCATCACTTGTTATCTAGTATTCTAGTGTTCTTACGTTTCATGCTGAGATTTTTGGGTCGACTTTGCAGATACGATAGGGAGGGTGAGCCATCTCAGTTGGCTCCAATTGATGTCTTTGTCAGTACAGTGGATCCACTCAAGGAACCTCCTCTAATTACTGCCAACACTGTCCTGTCCATTCTTGCTGTGGATTACCCTGTTGACAAAGTATCATGCTATGTTTCTGATGACGGTTCAGCTATGTTGACTTTTGAAGCGCTATCTGAAACTGCAGAGTTTGCAAGGAAATGGGTTCCCTTTTGCAAGAAACACAACATTGAACCTAGGGCTCCAGAGTTTTACTTTGCTCAAAAGATAGATTACCTAAAGGACAAAATACAACCTTCTTTTGTGAAAGAAAGGCGGGCTATGAAGGTAAGATAAGGTAGCAAATAGTCAGATTACTTATTCTACAAATGGGTGACTTTGATCACATGAGGTGTTTTCTGACAGAGGGAGTATGAAGAGTTCAAAGTACGGATCAATGCCCTTGTAGCAAAAGCGCAAAAAATACCTGAGGAGGGCTGGACCATGGCTGATGGTACTTCTTGGCCTGGGAATAACCCAAGAGATCATCCAGGAATGATCCAGGTATATTTTTCTTAATACCTCTAAAATGGACATTCCGTCAGATGTTTAGTTTGTTATAGATCTTGTCCTCATGTATTCCACTCTTCTTGTTTTTTATCTTAGGTATTCTTGGGCCACAGTGGTGGGCTTGACACTGATGGAAATGAGTTGCCACGGCTTGTTTATGTTTCTCGTGAAAAGAGGCCAGGCTTCCAGCACCACAAGAAGGCTGGTGCCATGAATGCTTTGGTATATTTTCACATAATTATTCAGCTCTACGAATGTCAATTTGGTTTGTTCATTGCTTTATGATCTGTCTCTTTACTAATGAACAGATACGTGTATCAGCTGTCCTGACAAATGGTGCTTATCTTCTTAATGTGGATTGTGATCACTACTTCAATAGCAGCAAAGCTCTTAGAGAGGCTATGTGTTTCATGATGGATCCAGCACTAGGAAGGAAAACTTGCTATGTTCAGTTTCCACAAAGATTTGATGGTATAGACTCGCATGATCGTTATGCAAACCGGAACATTGTCTTCTTTGATGTAAGTATGGTAGCTCTTTTGTTGACCAAATTTGCAAGTATTTCATGTTTCTTACATGGTTTTCTCTGTGCAGATTAATATGAAGGGTTTAGATGGCATTCAAGGACCTGTTTATGTGGGAACAGGATGCTGTTTCAATAGGCAGGCCTTGTATGGTTATGATCCTGTACTGACAGAAGCTGATTTGGAGCCTAACATTATCATTAAAAGTTGCTGTGGCGGCAGAAAAAAGAAGGACAAGAGCTATATTGATTCCAAAAACCGTGATATGAAGAGAACAGAATCTTCGGCTCCCATCTTCAACATGGAAGATATAGAAGAGGGATTTGAAGGTCTGTTCATGCTGCTAGACATTTAATCTTGCTTATTAAATGCAAATCTAGTTCTGATACTGAAGTTATTGTCGTGCTAAAATATGTTAGCTTGTACTAATGTGAATTGTGAAATCCCACCAGGTTACGAGGATGAAAGGTCACTGCTTATGTCCCAGAAGAGCTTGGAGAAACGCTTTGGCCAGTCCCCAATTTTTATTGCATCCACCTTTATGACTCAAGGTGGCATACCCCCTTCAACAAACCCAGCTTCCCTGCTAAAGGAAGCTATACATGTCATTAGTTGTGGATATGAGGACAAGACAGAATGGGGAAAAGAGGTCAGTGAGTAAAGCAGAGTTCCTTTACTGCCCTTCAAATAGTTCTTAGGTTTTTCCAGTTGATCTATTAACTAAAACACTAATGAGAATGGCTATACATTTGGCCCACACATCCGACCTATGTCCAACTGAGGAAGCTGTACAGGTCATTAGTTGCGGATATTGATTCATGTGAATGTGATTGATAGAATATAAAGAGTTGAACAACCATGTCATTTGCATAGCAGTGCTTACCAAATTTTTATGACCATGAATGATATTTTCCCTTTGATCTTGTATTCTTTCAGATCGGATGGATATATGGTTCTGTTACTGAAGATATTTTAACTGGTTTCAAGATGCATGCAAGAGGTTGGATATCCATCTACTGCATGCCACTTCGGCCTTGCTTCAAGGGTTCTGCTCCAATTAACCTTTCTGATCGTCTCAACCAAGTGCTACGCTGGGCTCTTGGTTCAGTTGAAATTCTACTTAGCAGACACTGTCCTATCTGGTATGGTTACAATGGAAGGCTAAAGCTTCTGGAGAGACTGGCATACATCAACACCATTGTTTATCCAATTACATCTATCCCACTAATAGCCTACTGTGTCCTTCCTGCTATCTGTTTACTCACCAACAAATTTATTATTCCTGAGGTAAGTTCCCCAGATTCATTTAAAGCCCCCATTATATATACCGTTGTGTTTGCTTGTGGGTGTTATTTTGAGGGAGTTATTGAGGGATGCATACCGCTTTCTCAAGCTACCGTTATTTACAGTTTTTTTTTCATGGTTGAGGACTTCGTATTCACAGGCTTAAACTTTTGTTTTCTTGCATCTCACACATAATTATCTTGCATTCTTTGTGTGATAGTCAGTTTAAAATCTAATCAGTAATCAATATATAGCAGTGCATTGTAATTTGTAAATTAATAAGACAAATTTTTTGTTGCAATTTTCCAGTCTACTCCCTCCGTCCCAAAATAAGTGTCGCTATGATATTCGCGTCGGTCAAACTTTCTTAAGTTTGACTAGGTTTGTAGAAAATATTAGCAACATTTGTATCTTCAAATAACTTCATTATAAAAATAGATTCAATGATCTATCTAATGATACTAATTATGTACTATAATTCTATAAATATTAATATTTTCTTGTATGTACTTGGTTAAAGTTAAAAGCGTTTGATTCCTCGAATAGCGAGAATGACACTTATATTATTCACAGTATTGGTAAGCAGTGAAACCTTACGTATGTTCTTGGACAAGTGTCCCTGCTAGATTACATCTATTTCTCCTGTAGTTCCATCCCAACTAGATTACATTCATTTCTCCTCTTAAAAGCGTTTGATTCCTCGAATAGCAAGAATGACACTTATTTTGAGACAGAGGGAGTAGGCATCTAAGTATCATTCACAGTATTGGTAAGCAGTGAAACTTCTTACATATGTTCTTGGACAAGTGTCCCTGCTAGATTTACATCTATTTCTCCTGTAGTTCCATCCCAACTAGATTACATTCATTTCTCCTGTAATTTTGCAGATTAGCAATTATGCTGGGGCGTTCTTCATTCTGCTTTTCGCTTCCATCTTCGCCACTGGTATTTTGGAGCTTCGATGGAGTGGTGTTGGCATTGAGGACTGGTGGAGAAATGAACAGTTTTGGGTCATTGGTGGCACCTCTGCGCATCTCTTTGCTGTGTTCCAAGGTCTCTTAAAAGTGCTGGCAGGGATCGACACAAACTTCACGGTTACATCAAAGGCAACCGATGATGATGATTTTGCTGAGCTATATGTGTTCAAGTGGACAAGCCTTCTGATTCCCCCGACCACTGTGCTTGTGATTAATCTGGTTGGTATAGTGGCTGGAGTATCGTATGCTATCAACAGTGGCTACCAATCATGGGGTCCACTATTCGGGAAGCTGTTCTTCGCAATCTGGGTGATCCTCCACCTCTACCCTTTTCTGAAGGGTCTCATGGGGAAACAGAACCGCACGCCGACCATCGTCATTGTTTGGTCCATCCTCCTTGCTTCCATATTCTCGTTGCTGTGGGTGAAGATCGATCCCTTCATATCCCCTACTCAGAAGGCTATTTCCCGTGGGCAGTGCGGCGTAAACTGCTGATTTGATCCAAACTGTCTGCTGGATAACATGGCTCCGGCCCGACCAAAATCTACCCCCATCGTGTAAATACCGCAGGAGGTTAGGCAAGGCTTTTGTTGGTAGGCTTTTGTCGTCTAAGTTATGCTTAGCTCAGTTGACTGTGCTGCATTTGGGGGTGGGCAGTATAAAACTTGTCAACTTATGTCGTGTTACTTATTTGTATCTAAGTAGCAGTAAGTAGTGCCTATTCTTCCTGACTGTCGTGACTGTGGACTGTCGTGATGTTATCTATATTGAGGAACTTCGAGTACTGATTGAGTTGTTTGGTTAATGACATTGTAATTTAGGGATTATATCTCTCTTGAAATTTATATATGTATTTCAAATACTCACGCCATATCACTCTTATAATTTATAGCGCATTCAACGACACGAGTTGATGGAGTGGTGTTCAAGAAATCATATACACAATCTATTTTGCAATTTAGAGAGGAGGCCGTGGAAACTTTATAACAAGGCTGCCAAGAGCACATCTACCTGCGACATTTCATGTTTCTGATTTTATAGTCAATGAAAACAGTATGATTTGGGGGGAAAATCGAGTACAAAACTAGCTCTGTGACATGCATGTGCCGCCCGTGTGTAAACTAAAGCACTAGTTTATCTGTCGACGTGAAGATTAGGCACGACCCACACACGAGCGGTTGTTTGTGGCCGTAGAAGGATGGGTGGTACATCTTGGTCTCCATATCGTAGAACACTGTCTGACTCCCATCCTCTGAATACCGGGGGAAGAAAAATCCTGTTGCCATGCCCACCTTCCGGAGACGCCACACCATACGACGCCCTGATGTCCACAAAGAGAGCCGCGCCATTGATGTCCTCCACCTCGATCCACGCCATCTCCGTCTCGTCAAGCCTGAACACCCGCGGCGGGTCGGCGGCGTTGCGCATGAACACGGACACCAGCTCCCCCCTGCAGCTCGACCCTCGTGGTCGTCGTCGAAGAGCTCCATCTCGGCATGGATCGGCCGCGGCTTGTCAAGGATTCGCCACGCGCTGTCAGGGTCGTCTCTGCTTCTTTCAGGGTCGAAGACGCCAAGGTTGCCCTTCCTCCCTAGGCAGTAGAACTTGCCACTGCAGAGGACAGGGTTGTTGCGTGCTATCGGGAACGGCGGTGCGTCTTGGTACTCCAGCTCCTGCAGGCTCCAGGAGTCCTCTCCATGCTTCCATGTATGAACGGTGACGAACACTCCGCTGTGACTGCTGACGATTCCAAAGAACGAGCAGTCCTGAGACGCCGGGGTTGACAGCGAGAATGAGATGCCGTTGCAGCTGTAACCGTGATACAGTATCGGTGGTCGTCTAAAAGGTCCCCGATGAACGGGTTCAAGACGAAGACCTCGTCATCTTCGGCGCCGCCTGAGACGACCACCCAGCCGTCTTTGGAGGAGCGGACCAGCCGTCTTTGGAGGAGCGGAGGGTGAGGCACTCTGCGTCTGTTTCGAATGCCTCGACCCGTAGCGTCTAGCGTGTACGCCATGCCTCGTAGAGGGTCGAGCATCTTGCATGCCCCGTCTTGCTTTGAGTAGTGCATGAGCCATGGCCAGACCTTTGCTTGCTCTACCGGATTCGAAACCTTGCTCCAAGACAGTAATTAAACCTGAGCTTGGTCATGGAGCAACTTGCTGGAGAATGTAACTGAGCTTGGTCCACTGGGTCGCCGGGGCGGCCGTGGAGAAGGAAGCCCTCCCTTGCCTCGGCTGTGCCGGAGACTAGCACAGTGCAGTCCGGGTGCCCCGGCGACCCGAGCACGTTGCTATGCTGGCGGAAAGGATCATGGAAGAGGGTGGCAGCTGGCTTCACGTCGCCATCGGTGTTCCTGGTGCGCGCGGTCAGTTAGCGTTCCAAATGGTTTCCTTTGTAAGTAGGTGTTGTTGATTCGTCTTATTAAAAAATGTACAGTATTGTGAGTGAGCGTTAGGATGCGGAGCGGTGCGGGGGAGGTGCATAGTTCAATGCGCAGGATTTGGCTGAATGATGGTGGGATGTCGGCTGGGCTTCTCTGAGAACCATGTTAGCTTGCATATGGGTTCGTGTGTGTAACCACACCAGGGGGCCTGAATAAAGGGTCGTGCATTCAACCAATCAATCCTTATTGTTTTTATTCACAACTTGTTACCCCACATAGTTTCTCGTCAGCATGCACTCATGAAAGGTCCTAAATAACTAGAAGAGGGGTGAATAGCCTATAAAAATTTTCTACAAACTCACTAAAACAAAATGTTAGTATATTAAATGATGTAATGCAATTTTGTGCACGTGTTAGAGCAAAATTGCATATTAGAACTTGTGTGCACGTTGCTAACCACAAAGTGTAGAACTTGTGTGCACGTGTGTTAGCATTTTACAAGAGTCAATTATTAACACACTAGGTCCCTAATGCATATGCAAGAATCATGTCACCTAGTGTCACTCGATAACCGCTTAGCCAAATATTTCTTCTTTTTATAGTACGACTATCGATACTAAACACATTCACACCCTCTATGGTGTCTTGAGTGCCAAAACAAAAACATATTTAATACATTTGCCTTGACCTTCTCGGTTTTTGTTTTTCTCTTTCTTCTTTTCCAAATTAGAGCTTGATCACCATCATCACATGTGTCCATCTCCATCTCCATGGACCTCTCATTGCTCCATCACTTAGCATGCACCAACCTTGCTCAATACAAAACTCATGACAAAGGTTAATATTTATGTTTCATCAATTATCCAAAATCAAACTAGGGCTTTCAACTCACCATACGTCACTGCACCTCTTGACCACACGCAAGTGTTGTCTCCAACACAAGTGGAACTTGTCAATGGGCTGGTGGAATGAACATTGCTCTTTGCTCTATTATTAAAGTTACTGTTTATTTAGTGTTATTTGATGATATTCTACTAAGTTCTGGTGTCTCACTTTCATCACAGGAATGTACGATGTAATGGTGTGCACTCGGCTTGATCTATTCATTGTTAGTTTCAGTGTTTGGCACAACATGACCATTCATGCCATTGTTCGCAAGAATCTTAGGTAAGCTTAGCAGTGATCATCACCTCTACTTGTAAAATACCTCATTCTCTCTAATGCTATTTAAGTTCTTTTTTTTTCTTTTATGGTTGAAAAAACCTAGCTAGTTTTGGTCACTCATGTGGAGGTTTTAGCATAGGATGATACTATCTTTTGCTTTGCTCTCTTTTAGTTGCTACAACTATTTGTGGTCCTTTTCTTTGGTGTGGTAGTCAGAATCTAGCTAGGCTTGTCCCTTGAAACCAAGGGTTCAAAGCTTCATGATGGGGCTTGACAGGTGCAGACACCTGACGTAATTGTGGTTGATTTTCTTTTATATGGCTAGACAGTTGATGGTGTCTTGTTTGTTTTATATCTGATTTTTTTACCAAGAGTGTTTATAGTACATACGTTAATAAAGGAGCCAATTTGTATACTAAACCCCTACAACACGTTGAACAAGTGATGAAAGCAGTGACCGCCTTTTGCTTGTCAATTTGAGTTGGCTAAAATAATGTCATTGCTAGAGAAAAATGCTTCATAGGGATTTCCTATCTCAACCTTGTCCAGTAGCGCGTTGCTTGATAAGGTTGGGCAAGACAAACCTTGCTCAGGGAGTAGAGTCAATTGGTTGTTGGCTTTACTTAGAGAGCAGGAAAAACATTACTTTCTATTTCATTAACTACCACACAATCACATTGGACAATTATTATATACAAACTCATATTACAATTATAAGAATGTAGATTGCAACAACAAAAGCATGATTCTGTATTTGTTAAGTTCTCCCATGCATTGGAATAATCTCTTCTTCAGCATTGCGTGCAATGAAAAGGTCTCTAGTATGTATCACATATTTGTACACACCAGTCATGGTCCTATTTGTTCAAGACTAATGTTGTTTCTCAGAATATGCAAATAACACTAATTATTACATAATATCTTTGCTTGGTTTTGTTAGAAGCACCATTTCATACATAACTTTACTTAACACATATAACTACATCATATCTAGGAAAATTGTAGAGTTTGATCCAAAGTTCTAAACTAACACTGAGCAAACATAAGTGCAGAAAGGGTGTTGAAACCATGACAACTTGTGTCATCATCATAGGTTTAACCAATATGGAGATGCAAATCGATTACAACACAACGCTAAATTAGCAATATAATATTCCTTCGTCCAATACAAAAGTTGCTTGATATTATAAAAAAAGGACACCTAAGATATTGTTATGACGATTTAAATAATTTTCCATTTTACATGCCAGCACACTTGTTGGGTTATATACCTTCGCTTGTATCTTCACCGAGGTGAAGGGTAAGCTAGGGTGATAGCCCCACACAGAAAGAAGAAAATGAAACAAAACGCTATAGATTAGGGTTTGGAGAATGAGTGAAAGGATCTAACAATGCCTAGAGGGGGGGGGGGTGAATAGGCGTATCTAAAAATTAACTACAAATGCTAAGTTCAAATTTGTTAGTCAATGTCGGAAGTCCCGGCGTTTGGGTAGGAACTCCCGACGTTTGGGTAGGAACTCCCGACGTCGTCAGAAGTTCCGCACAAACGTCAACAATCCCGACGCCTACATGAACTATAAAAGCAGTGCCAAATTTAACTTTGCAGATAAATAATCTTACAACCCCACTTCCTTGTGGTTTGGTGAAGAGGTTGGGTCACTCCCTTAACGCCGTAATGCCTCCAAACCGTAGATCGAGTCCAAACCCTAAAATGAAGTTCAAGAGAGAGAGACAACCAAATACAAGTAATCTCTAGCAATCACAATAATAAGCACACGAGACACAAGGATTTATCATGAGGTTCGGCAACCCCACAAAGGAGCTCCTACGTCCTCGTTGTTGAGGTGACCACAAAGGTCGGAGTCTAGTCCACCTCCTAGCCTCTCTCAAAGCGACCACAAAGGTCACTTGAACTTTCCACTAAGAAATCAAAGGGTAATACAAACTTCCCAAGGCTCTTCCACAAAATGGAAGCTCTTGGGCAACGCCTAGCCGGCTAGGGGCAAAGCCCCAAGAGTAATAGACGCAAAACCAACCGGCTTGATGAACAAATCAAATGCTCAAGCTTGCCAAAGTGATTCTCTCACTTAATCCATTCTCCTTTTACTCAAAACCCTAAGGGAATTGAAGATTGGAGCAAAGGAGGGAGGAGAGGGGTGCCTTTCTTGCTTGGGAGTTGTTGGAATGAAGTTAGGTCAGCTGTGAATGAGCCCGTAACGGTTAGAAGTGAAGAGAGGGCTATTTATACTCTTAGTAGAAATCTAACCGTTTAGATCTACGTCGGAAGTTCCGACGCAGATCTCAGGACTTCCGACGTTAACAGAAAGCACTGTTCACATAGGGTCAGAAGTCCACGCGTGCAAGTCAATGTCGGAACTCCCGACGTACGTCGGGACTTTCGACGTGCGCAGTCAGTCAACCAGTAAAGCCCCAGGTGTCGGGACTCCCGACAAGGTCCGGGACTTTTGACTGGCGCAGCCAGCCAGCCAGCAGAGCCATAGGTATCGGGATTCCCGGCTTGGGTTGGGACTTCCGACTGTCGGGAGTTCCGACTCGTCCACAGTCACCGTGCATGCTAAGTGACTGGGAGTTAGAACTTCCAGCTTATGTCGGGACTTCCGACACCGACAGTCACAGAAAAATATTCTACGTCCTCGTGGAGTGCTAGAGTCTCTCTTTCGATTTTATATTTATGCTTGAGCACTCTATCTACCTTAGGCCAACTAAGTTTGCATCCCTCTTTATAGTGCAGTGGATCCTAGACTCAAAAACAAAAATAAAACCTTTGGAGAGCGTTTTGAGTTTGTCCGCCTTTACAACTTCAAGAATTGAGGGATATCATTTCATCTTTATCAACTCTTTGAATCTTTCATGGGACTAATAGCTGCGACATATCTCATTAAGATCATATTAGTCCCTAATTTGGATGTCATCAATACACCAAAACCCACATAGGGGGCAAATGCACTTTTAATCTCCCCCTTTTTGGTAATTGATGACAACCAACTTAGGCTTTTGTAAGAATGAAAGAATTTAAAGCTTTTGAACCCCAAAATTTATGAAGAGCTTCCCCTTGATGTATGCATGAATTTGAATTTCAATTAGAATCATCTATACATGATTTGCATACATCAAGACAAAAGCTCCCCCTAAATTTTGCAATCCGTGGGGTGCAACAAGTGTGTGTGAACAAATAGATATCCATGAAAAGAAATGCAATATGACATGTTATTTCACACAAGTAAAAAAGAGTATGATGACCAAGATTTCAATGTAAAAACTTGAAGCAACACATGGCCATCCAAAAATCATCCATCATCACAAGTAGAGACAATCACAAGCTAATAAGATAGATAAAAAACATTACTTATCCTACAATCATTCATCACAAACACATATAAATAGATGTCCATCACAATCTAGCCACCACATGACTTAGTGCATACAAGCTAAAAGTTTTAAAGTCTCGAAACAAAATGACTAACTAACTTATTACAAGATATCATCAAAGCCTAACACTCCCCCTTTGTCAACAAGTGCCAAAAGGGGTAGGCCACGTGAAGAACCAACTACTCTTCGTCGTAGTCATCATCATCATCGTGGTCACCGTCCTCACCACCATCGTCGTCTTCATCCTCCTCCTCCTCCAAGTATTCCTCATCTTCTTTAGTCGCCTTGCCCTTGTCATGAGGGCGAGAAGTCGCATCATCTTCATATGCCGCACAAGCCTCATCATATAAAGCCAACGGATCATAGGGAGGCACAAATAGCAGCGGAGGAGAAGACACAATCCCTGTGTGCTGTTCCAACCGATAGAGCATCTCTTGCATATTGTGCTCATGTTGAGCACTAGCACAACACTATCCAAACATGTATGTCATGAGGAACTTGAATTTGTTTGGCTTCTTACCAAAGGAGGAAGAAGAGAGGGGCTCGACACTAGAAGAGCAAGCAGCAGCAGCAGGTGGTGAAGCACCACGGTGAGAGCGAGAACCTGAAACACCTTTCCCTTTTGCTTTGGCTGCAGCACCTTTCTCCCTCAGTTCTTTTGCAGTAGTGATCGATGTCTTGTTGGAGATCTTGAGGAGGTTGTGCTGAGTGTCTGTGGGGAACCGGATGCCAGACACTTGCTCAATCATATGCATAATGTATGGGGCATAGGGAAGATGCTTCACTGGATCCTCAGTAGCATCATGTATCTTGTTTCAAATGTAACAGCTGATGGAAAATTTCTGAAAATCATCTCCAAATCGCTGAAGCACCTTCTGAGAATCATCATGAAGGAAGGTGGAGTCACCTCGCTTCAGATACAAGATCTGTCTTAGAATGTTATTGAGGACATAGTAATAGGGCTTTAGATATACTGTCTGTCCATCAGCTGTATGTCCATCAAGATACATGTGTTGGTACTCCTCCAAAGAGACATCCTCATACTCAGTCAATTCAGGTGTAGTGTGGTCGGCCTGACTCAAACCAAGAAGGCAAGAGAAAGTAACGAAATCCACTTTACAATGCTTGCCTTCAGTGGTCTAATGGATAAAGTCAATAGCATCGGTAGGGTCTCGCTCATGATGATAGGAAGCATAAAACTGATAGATAAGCTCATTGTTCCAATGCTTCCTAAACTCTAGTAAGTAGGATAGCCCCATTGAGCGTATATCACGAACCATCTGCTCTAGCTCGGGCTCCTTGAACTTACCAAGAGAGTATGCATCAATGCACTTCATCTGAAGAACCGGTGGCTCCCTCTTCTTTAAAAACTTCAGATAGAGAATGGAATCATAAAAGTCATAATGGAACGGATGCCAGAAGCGATACTCAAGCCTTAGATCCTTCTTGTCCTCAGCATTAAGGTTTCTTCCCCTCATGGACCTAATGTCCTGAACCCGATGAGGGTAGTCAACTGGTAGAGGAGGAGTCTAGCCACCAGCAGGATTAGGAGCCATGGCTGGCTCCCGCATGACTGGTGAAACGCCCAAGAAGGGAACAAGCTCAGTGACGAAGCCTAGGCCACGAGTCGGGGTGTGAACCGGTGGAGTAGCAATGGT